TGACCGGCCTCGTCAGGAAATTTCCTTCCCTTTTTGTTTCTCTCTCTCCGCCCGCAGACGTCATCCTTATCCTCCAAACATCTGAGATGTCCCATGTAGGACTGCACAGATGAAGCCGATCGCTTTTTGTAGGGTGATACAGACACTATGCAGCTGCATGAGAGCTCGCAACTCCCTTCACAACCTATCTAGCGTTTCAGTGTCTGTCTTCAGTCTTACTGCAGGTGAATGAGTGAGAGGAAATGCTATTACAATTACAAGTCCTCAAATTTCTCTGTATATTGAACCTGCAGATGTAGCAGGTAGGAAACTCAGTAAACTGTATATAGCGGTGTGGGTGAATACCTCCATCACCTGAGAGCGTTAAAGATATAAATGGCAAGCCCTGGTGGGGTATCGGAGGGATATTCTGTGCAATATTGTAGGGTGCTCAGAATAAGGAAGAGGGATTTGAGAAGTGAGGAAGAGTGAGAAAGCCGCCATTTCTCTAATCGTGGGGCGCTCAGTGACTTCCAGAGCGAGAAGAGTATTAGTTTCGCGGGAGCAGCCTAGCGGGAGTGGGAAGACACAGTCCGCTCTCGTGATGATAAACTGATGGAGCTGGAGACTGAGGTCCCCCGAGACGAGGGGATGTGTACAAGCGTCTGTGCCCAGCGGTCAGCTGAGAAATTAGGCCGTAAATCTTCTTTCCGGGCTGCTTTAACAAGGTTAGCTGGGGTTCGGTGGCTTCCCAGCATTGCTTTCATGAACCGCTGATGCAGGCTGTTGTTTCTGGAATAATCGGTTAAAGCAGTTAACACCGGGAGCTGAAGAATATCGGGAGCTGTGGAAGGCTGACAGGGCCACTCCTTAATTGCTCCACTCGCGGGAAGCCCAGATTCCGTTTCCGGCACAATTGAGGGAAAGTGCTGTTTCTCTGATCGTTGGGCTCTCTCCTCATTCATCACGGCTGCCTGCTCTGCTTTGTGTCGCGGCGGTGCTCTGTCGTTCAGGCCCTGGAATAATAAGCAGGGCAGTATCTTTCGAGTCCGTCACATGGGCTGGTACGCCCTGTCGGAAGAATCTGACAAGCCAGGGTCAGCGCTTGGAACGCCTGCCAGGTGCCGAATTAAATTTAACCTTTTCGACTCTGGTGACTTTGGGCATAAGCGACACATGATGTGGGTGATCAGTTGTATAGCATGGAATTAAGACTGCTGCTGCTTAACTGTTTGATCCGTTGAAGTCTTAGAAGCATTTTGTGAGGATAGAAGACAAACACTTCATTTTGATGCCTCTATTCTATCCCTACGGATTCTCTGTAGATTTGGTCAGAATAGGGTATCAAGCATCTGATCCTGGGTTTAGTTGTAGGAATATGGATGGAAAATGAGAGAAAAAGACAAAAACCTTGCTGCTGTTAAAACCCAGAATGATTCAAACTGTCATGCAGTGGGAATTTGCTTTTTCAGTGCCTGGTGCACATCTGTGTGTTCTGGTCCTGTGTTTAGTGAAATAAGAATGGAAGAATGTTTACAGAAATCTTAGTAAAGTTCTGTCCATAAAGGATGCCCTGATTTATACATAAAACTATACATGTAAGGCAAAATATACATATGATACCTGTTTCCAAGGCATTCAATTAAATTAAAGTATTGTTGTAATAGTCTAGTGAATACCCATAAGAGGTGCTTGTACTGGAATAGAGAGCTTATTTGTATGAATCCACTGTGCCCTGCACAGATGTTGTGCTTTTCAAGTATAATTTACTCAACGGCATTTCTTCTTTTTCCCCCATTGTGCGCCTTAAAGTAATTCTCCCGAGTTGAAGTGTTCAGTTAAAGAAACAAAGCTCCATTATGTCAAATTACAGTACAGGAGAGAGCTTTGGACACTGCTACAAGAGAGGAAAGAAAAAAGAAAGGCTTGTCTCTTATAAATATTTAAATCAATCATTTCTTGTTGAACGGAGGCTTCCTGGTTGCAGTGGACATGAAAGATGCATTGGGATGGGCTGCTTGCTAATGTAATCCACAATTAAGTGTACCGCGGGGAGGCTGGGAATCATATCAGAAGAATGGCGAGGCTTGCTTCAGGAGTGGTCGGCGAGCAGTGCATTTTCAGTCTTTAGAGGAACAGCTAATTGAATTTGAATTAAGTACACTGACTGGCCTGATGTCTTCGGTGTGGACTTTTTTTTGCTGTTGAGGAATGCACAGCAGACGGCCAGCGAAACGGCTAGTCTGACACGCAGGCTTGCAGAGGAAGGAGCTGACATTCCACCTTCCTCTAAGACGAGGAAAATAAAGAGAGCACCCTCTCTCAGCAGCCTGCGTTCCCCAGGAGCTAGCACTGGGAGTGATCGTTATGTGGGCAGCTCTGGCCTGTCTGTCTGGCTGCGCCTCTGAGCTCCAGGGCCTGTGGCTGGTGTTTGCCGAGACGGTGTCCGTGAGCCGACGCCCCCCTGCTCCCGGTGCTAGTTCACTTTTGGTTCCGCACAGGAACTTTGAGGAGGCCGATGGCTTGTTTACTCTTCTTCCCACCTGAGCTTGTGACTCTGTCTTCCGCCGCCTGTTTTACTGAGATGTTTCAGCTGGAGGTCATTCTGCGTTGTTAAACTAAAATATTTGCAGATCTTGTGCCGGCTCCTGATGCAGTACATACGCAAAATTTCCCAGCAACTTTACAGCATGTTCAGGAATGTTTTTTTTTTGTTTTAAGTAGAAAAAGTATTCCCTCTAGTCATAACAAGTGAACATGAAGCTTCATGACTTGATCCTCTGGAGCTGCAAACAGGTGCTTTATTAATTAAACCCAGTATGTCTGTAGACTAACCGAAGGCATAGAATTTAAAACTGAGGTCTTACCAGTTAATCTGGTGAGAAACTTTTCTGTATTCTTCTGGAGTATTGCAACATCTTACTTCCTGATTTAATTTTTGTTTTTTGCCTTTGGGTGTTTTTTGATAGTTTTTACACTATTAGCCTATTTGCTCTGCAAGTTAGCAAATGAAAAAAAAAAGAACAATTTACAAAGTGAATTTCCACTGCAAAATTAAGATCCTTTGCTGGTGTAACCGAAGAATACTTCCCCGCTTTGCTTCCTGTTAATAATATTCCTACGTGTGAAATGAAAAACTGAGTGCCGCGCAAATGGCATGAGTGTAAAAGACGGATTGGAGGAACGGGCAGCGGAGCTGTTTCTCGCATCTCCTGGAGAAGAGGGTCCTGTCAGGCTGGTGTTGTCAGGGAACCTGCGGAGGAGAAGCATTGCGTTCTGGGCTGGTTTCCAGGGTAGGGAGCTCCCCGGAGTGCTAATGGGAGCCTGGTGTTTGCTCCTCTCGGGGGCTGTTTACTTACCGCTCTGTCTGCCTGTGTATAGGCTGCCTGTCCCAGCCACACAGCAGCACCGCTCGCCTGTCTGGATCCCCGGCAGTGGCCTCTGAGCAGCCCCAGTTCTGTTAGAATCTCAGCAGTCCTTTGTCCCCAGTTTATGACACATCTGAGGCACTGCTGGATCCACAGCAGAGCCATCTTTTAGGTCACCTAAAAATAATTATTTTTGATCCTCCTTTTTTTGCACACTATTTGATCATCTTTGAATCTGTTTGGGGTGGCACAGTGGCACGGGGGTTGGCAATGCATCATGGCAGCGCTAAGGTTCAGTTCGGAAACGGTGAGCTGTCAGTGTAGAATTAGTAAGTTCTCCCTGTGTTCACGTTGGTCTCCTCCCAGTCCAAACACATACTGGTAGATTATTGGCTTCTGGGAAAACTGTCCGTGGTATAAGTGTGTGTCTTCTTCTGTGGCTGTGCTTGCCCTGTAGTGGACTGTCATCCTGTCCAGTGTGTGTCCTGCCCCATGCTGGGAAAGGCTCCAACTCCTCAGTCACCCTGTAGTTGATAAAGCAGTGAGGAAATTGATGGATGTATCTTTTTGGTACCTATTTCTACACCTTAATTGCTTTAATAAAGAAGATCTTCAACAATAACTGCAGGCTCACAGGATTTTGTGTGGCTCCACCATCCAATCCGTTTGCTGCTGTGGTTTTTATATCTGCAAATCAGAGCTCAAATAACAGGAGAGCGGTTTTCTCAGAGTTTGCACAGCGTGGGAAGCGACAGCGTCTGGCCTCAGTGGCTTCTGCACTTGGGAGGACAGACGTTTGAGATGTCCATAAGCTTTGGTAGCTTTCACTGTGATTAAAACTCAGTGACCACATTGCCATTCGCAGGCAAAGTATTGGTCCGCCTTCAATGGAAAGAGTTTGTCATATAGCATTAGTCACTTTGCAGCTCTGGAGTTAATACTGTCCCTTAGGTACAGTCTATAAAAATAGTTATTTTAAGTTGTTTTGTTTTTTTATCGGAACATATCCATCAAATATGATTTTGCAATCCTTTAAGTCTCCAGTGTGAAAGGTAATTGCATTGACGTGACACTGAAAACATTGTTTAAGAATGATACACCAAGGATTCAGCTTAGCAAGTAGCATGATAGTTTGATAAAAAAAAAAAAACTTGGCATTACCAAGCTGGGTAAATTGATGATTATGGGATATTTGTAAGACTTGTTGTACTGGGGCTCTTTATGCTGGCTTTCCCTACACTGCCACAGAGCTTTTTGTAACTGTTTTTGAGGGGTTGGAAGGTAACAGCCAAGACTATGCAATGGAAGATAATTGGAATATGGATGTAAAATAATGTCTTTAATCAGATGCTGTCTTTTGTAGAGATGTTCACAGATCATAAGAAGGTGATGCCCTGGCAAATGTTCGGTCTCAGACAAGTCTCTACACTGAGTTTTTAACGGATTAAAATCACTTGTTTTTTTAATGTTTTGAGCAAATATTCCACAGTCTATAGTCTCAGTTGAAGAAGGTGTTCTGCTCTAATGTGGAGGAATTAAATGATAAATCTGATTGAAATAAATAAAAGACTTAATACACTGCATGATTAAAGATTAATTACAAGGGATAATCCCAGTATGGACACTGACTCTGTGTGTGCTTTTTATCTGCAGGATCTGCGCAAGCAGGTAGCTCCGTTACTGAAGAGCTTCCAAGCAGAGGTGAGTGTTGTCTTCTGTCTTCTGAGGAAAATGCATGCAAGTCTTCCCTCAGTTCTGGAAGGCTGACCTGGTTTTAGTTTTGGGATTCCAGGGTTTCTCAAGGCCTGGTGCACACCTGGATAAGTGCTGCTGGGGTTGGGAGTGCTGGAGCTTACCCAGTGTTTCCACAGCCTGCTGCCCAGGAGCAGACGCTGCCCCCAGCCACTCAGCCCTGGTGTCGTCTTTCATCTCTCCCGCGCTGGGACAAGGGTTGTAGATTTGAACTAAGATGAATAATATTGAATGGTTCCAGAATTTGTGGGTGTAAAAAAATAGTTTCATATATTTCTGATTCTTCTCTTTTGAGCTGTTGGCTGCTAATGTGCCCCCTTGCCCCCTCCTTCCTGGCAGTGTCTCGGCTGCCCTGGCCAGACTGGAGCAGTGCGACAGGGGGCTAGCTGCCCACTCTCCTGGAGAGTGCTCTCCCGATTCCTCTCCCACTGGAGCCGTCCCTGACGTCCCGGAGCTATTTGTAGTCTTTAAATTGCATCCATTAAAAACATGCCAAACTGGAGCTGATGAGAACTTTAGTCCGAACACTGAAGACGGATCCATGTTTTTATTGAACCCCAGTGTCACATTGCACATGCCTGGGTTTGCTGCTCCCCTTCTTTATCGGTTATATCACTGTAGCACCTTGCAGCTCTGCCGCTCCTCACCGCAACGATCTGAGTGAAGCAGCCAGTTGAAGCTCAGACAGTCTGGGGGAGTGCATGGTGAAGGGAAATTGGGCCCAGAGCTCCTGAGGGCTTTTCTGTTGCCTGTTCTGGGGTAGATGTGTGACCCAGAACAATCGGAAGTGACAGCAGCCGCCAGCCGCCAGCCAGGAGGAGACTGTTATGGTCTAGTGTTGTACTGAGAGTAACGTTTGTTTTCAAGTTCTGTAATTTTGCCGGTGATTTTACAAGTTTGCCCTCACTCAAGACCAGAGATGGGGGGCTGTGGGTGTTTTGTATTTTTTTGCTTTTGAATGAATTTTCATTTATAATATAGTACCTTCGGTTAAAACTGGATGTTGATATTAATTTTATTAGAGCAGTACTATGAAATACCAAGGGATTGAATATTGATTTGCTTTCATTCAGACTCATTGCCTGAATACCAATTAAAAACACAGTCTCTCATCCTAACCAAGTTTATTGTGTTATGTCGAATTTTGGAAGGAGGCAGGACCACTTGCATATTTAAAAAAGAGGCTTGTTGTAGCACTTTACATTCCTAATATCTACATTTTAAAAGGGCTAAAAGGGCTAAAATGTTAGCGTTGTCCCTTGGTTTTCTCTCATGCGCAGCTTGGGTTTGTTTATTATAAAGCAGAGAATGGTTGGCAGTCTATTGTCTTTTCCACTTTAGTTATTAAACCGTTTCTTCTGTCTGACCTTTCATGGTGGTGTACATGAAAATTACACACCATTGATACAATAATAATGTATTAGTGATAAATATAAGCCCCGCTTCCTGATTTCCTCAAGATCAGTGGAAGGATTTAGAAGTGCAGAAAACAGGGTTTGGTATAAAACTAGAATCTTGCTGCATTTATTATATGTATTCTACTGTGACCTTCTCCTTTAAACTTACAATGGGAACGACTGTATCAAAGTTTCTTCAGCTTTACAAGTCAACAACCGGTTCCTCTCTTGTTCCAAGAATTTTGTAAATCTGATAAGGTTTTGATTATGTCTCCATTGAAAAAACACACGTTCTTGCAACTTCTTATCTGAAACCCCTACAGGCTTTTTGTAGCTGGGTCAGTAGTGATGACCTTCACGAACTGTGCTAGGAGAAACTTTTGGCTGTGTGCACAGGCAGGTTTTGGACAGTTTGCGTGTGATAGGTGGGTGATTTGTTGGTTGAGGGGGACCTAACACATAGGTTTATGGGAGTAGGGAACAGGATACCCAGCCATGTCACTGAAGCCTGTTCCCTGGCTTCTCCCAGTCAGCAGCGGGATTCTGTTCTTGGATATATTAGCCACTAACTACCAAACAGATGTGCTGAATGGCCTCCTTTTGTTTGTAACTTTTCTTATGTTCTTGGGATACCAGGGTGATGTGAGGTGGCAGGTCTTGGCGTGTTGTTTCAGCTGCTCTCCTGGCGAGCGTGCTAGATATAACTGTTCCCCTGTGGAGGAAATGAACAAACAGGAGGGGAAGCCAAACTCTGTATTGCTCGCAGATCCAGAGGATTACAGCACAAGTCTCAGAGGAGGACGAGCTGTGTGCTTCAGTGTAATTGCATGCATCTAGTTTCTCTAATGTGCCAGTTGTGTACGGAGATGAGCACGGGTGTGTTGCATGTGTCTTTCTGCAGGAGTAAGGTGCGTCTGTGCTGCGGTGGGGTCTCTTGTGAATACCCAGGGAGTCACTTACCTGCACTCCTTCCTCCCTTTCCTCCGTGCGCACGGCCCTTCACGTCTGCTCCCAAGTGTGACCCAGCAGCAGTTTGAGTAGTAGTGTCATAGTAATAACAAATTATTAATGTAGCAGGAGCTTTATCCAAGAGCGTGAAGAGCTATCGCCCAGTCTGCTCCAAGCAGCGCATGAAGAGTTCGGTTATTTTCCCAAGGTGACGCAGAGTGTTTGAATTTGCAGCCTCCTTGAAAGGCCGTTTGCCCAGAATCTTCTAGTCTCTTCCACCACATCTCTCGGTCACCTCCCTTGAGCTGAATTCAAGAACAACCCAGGCTTCGTCGTGTACATTTTCTGGGATTTTCTGATATTATTGTTTGGGTAAAAATGGCAGTTAAGTTCCTTTAAGACACATGATGCCTGTAAGAGTCAGCCTTTTGCTCCTTTTGTAAAAAATCTGTGAACAACTGTCTAACTCTTATATGGTCTTCCCTGAGTGCATAACACTTTCCAACAGAATACACTGCCATTCTGACCAACCCATAGAAATGGAGCCAGAAAGAGCATCACCTTTGTAGCTTCTGTTTCTCTACCAAGAAAGACGGGCCAGAGGATGTCCGTATTGATACAGGAGGAGAGGATTATGAGGTATTTTTAAGGGGGTAAAGTTAGGCACTGCAAAAAAGTCGAGCAGAGAGGTCCAATACAAAAATATTGTTGGTGGCAAAGTACTGTAGTCCTAATAAAATTCAAGTCTGTAGGGATGGGAGATGAGTGAGTCCAGCCCGTGTGCAGAGACTGCAGGCCGTTCACAGGTGTGGGGCTGACTGGAGCTCGTGTGGAGCACCAGGGCATTAGGGCCTGGATTAGTCTCTCAGCTCTCCTGTGCCCCTGTCACTTTGTGGGTGGCAGCGGGGACGTCTGTGAGAGCTGAGTGGTTCCTCTGTGCCGGAGGATGAGTGGGCAGGTCGGGGGGAGACTGTCTGCTCTTCCTCGTCCTCCCTGTGCAGGACCAGAGTTGCACTGCGTGCCGAGATGAAAGCAGATGAAGAGATGTTCCGGACTGGATGTGTAGGAAAAAAGATGCAAAGAAGAAGACATTGAATTTGAATGAAAATAAACTGAATTAGCGGAAATTAAGAAAAGACAAAAGTTAGAACATCATTAAACTAGCTTTGCATTAAAATGTAAGTCAAAATGTTTTTATTCTATACATCTGAAGAGCCTTTTTGAATATTCATCTGTCATTTTAGAGTTTGTTTTTTCTTTAGTGGAATGATTTGTACTCATTACTATTGAATCATAGATGGTTCTCACTCATTCAGATGGCTCTTCTGTCTGGCCTCTCTGTTAACAAAGTTCTTTTATCGGCAAAAAGCAAGTCCCCAACTATCTGTCCTGTGCAGTACTCAATTAGCATTTGTTTTTACCTCAGTAATTCTAGTGTCATTCTCGGAGTTATGTAACAGTGGACTCTAACCTTACAATACTTAAGGTGTCATAGATATTTCCAGGCTCTTTTCAAGAGCCCAGGTGTACCCATTCTAACGTGTTGGTCATTAATTGACCACTCCATGCTCCTGGATCAGGTGTAAAATCAATTCTCTGCTCCGACTTTAAATCCCCTGAGTTCTTATTTCTTCTGAACACTAATGAAATGCAGTGCTGAAACATTTTCTCACCTTTCAGTTAAAAGAAAACATTGCACGTCTGCAGTGCCTCAAAAAGTGAAGCTAAATTTTTTAAGCTTTTTAAAATGGTCTGATTATGTTCTTACTAAAAACACATCGTTCCTATGGATTTGAGATACCAACGCCTTCTTTTGCTTTTGCACTTATAATGCTCTGCAGTGAAGAACTGAAACACTCAATTACCAGGTAGTGAGCTCAAACCTCATTTTCAGATAAAGACCTGAAATGATCCATTCTTTGCTCTGTTGTGTGGTCTCCTAGGACCTTAATAACGAGAGCTATATAAAGCACAACAAGCTAGTGTGTGTCATGAGTCAATGATTGGTCAGTTGCTCTTATCAGCAAAAGCACTCTTGCTCTAAAATGCTATATATAGAACTCCAAGCAGGAAATCCCTCGTAAGAGACCAAGTACGGATGGGATTTAATAAAAGAAAAATAATGCCGGCTTTTGAGCTCTGAAGACCTCTAAAAATAACCTCTCTGTCCTATAAAACAGTTTCTTTCAGCTGTTGATGTGGCCAGGCTTTCATTGTAACAGGCTGCTCAAACATCTTAATGTATTCATTTAAATGCAGCGCTGCAAGGCTACGAGTATGCAAGTTTTATGAAGTTAAAGAAATGAGTGCTGACTCCCCAGACACCTTTCAAAGCAAAATTATGGTTTGTCTGCTCCATTACGGTTCTCTGCGGTCTGAATTCTATGTTCATGTGGTCTGCCCTGCTATCGACTGAGTAAAACATTCTATTTAAATGACTTGGATTTTAAATCTGCCAGGCCTGATATAGTCTTAAATTTAGTCCAAAATTCCAGGATTTATGTTCTGGTTAAAGTCATGGTCATTGGCCTGAAATCATTCTCGACCTGCATGAAGTCTAAATTGTCTCATGCCAAGAAATTTATTTTTACTGCTAAAGTCATT